ACAAACGGGGAAATGGGGCTCCCCAACATCATAGCTACCACCTCCTAAGAGTTGGCATAAAAAAAGAAAATTTTGCAATTATCTCAAACTCAATCCCTACGCAAGATATCGTACTTACCAGTGCAGTCACCCAGATCACAAACTTCGTATTTTTTCTCGCAGTCTCGTCCACCATTCTCACTGGGACGAATCACCTCTGGGATGAGCTGGCGGAGACCGAGTCCACACATCTGAGAGCACTCTTCTGTCTCACCATTCCGACAAGGTATCGTACATTGGCCTTCGGAGTATTTGATAACTTGGCAGTCAACTTAGTTTGAAGAATATAAAGAGATTTGGATAAAGTTAATATCAAACATATATAATGTTACAAATCACCTAAAGCAGGCTAAAAGCAAATTCAACTCTTGAACCAATTTAGATGGAGTAAGATAACTGGAACCATTAAGAGCTGTATTCACCCTACGTAATTAGCACTCCGAGCTTCACCGAAAATCCTACTATCAAAATGTAAAATGTAAAAAGCTTTGCTTTTCCTCAAATTTACGTCTGTTCTATGACCTATGGACACTCAGGACAGTGTGACACAATGGTTACATGTCGAGACTATAAGCACACTACCTGGGTTCAAATCTCGTTGGTGGTGCTGCTGAAGCACAAGCAAAGTCAAAACAGCAGTCCAGTGTAGCCTGAATGAGAATAGCTTTTGGAAAACAGGGATATGTGAAATTTAATGTAAATATCATACATATTCATATCATTATGGAAAAATCCACTTTATGCATACCAGGACTAATACAGCTCTTATTCAACATCAGCTGGTAGTTTCAGAACCAACCATATACAAATGCCAAAAAAACAATTGTAGGCAACATCTCGTGAAGCAAGGACAGAATTCTAACATCACTCTAAAAGTATCGTGCTTATTTTGGACCTAGTAAACTTCAGAGCTGCAGGGACAATACAATTTAGCAGTGGCACGTTTTAACTTGTGAGGCTTACAAAAGCCGGTATTGGAAATGGAATTAAAGATCTTCAGCATCTTTCTTTAGTCCATTTAGCCTTATTCAATGCTATCCTGTCTAGTTGACCTCATTCTAGATTGTGGAGATGAAATTAACAATCCTCCAAGCCGATAGGATATGGCTTTAGTTGAATTCCAGGTTTGTTCTGGCGGACAGAGCCTTTGAAACTCGGGCAACATATGGGAATGCTGAAACCCTCATGCGGCCATTTAATGCGCCCGCAAATCAAGGACAGGATCAAGGATACCAGCTATTCGTTGTTCATAGATCGCCCAAGTGACAAGTGGATCGTAGAATATATGAAGAAAAGTTTGGTTTCAAGCCATCTCTTGCTTCATAATTGTTAAGTTTATTCCAATCTCAAATGAATGTGCTTGGTGAATAGATTCGAAGCTCGATCCCACCGGTTACCGAGGCAATTTCCTTCGAATCCTATGAAAAAGTGTTATGCTTTCGTCCTTTATATGACGGAATCGAAGGAGATTGCCTCGGAAACAGCGTCAACAATAATCTTTCGCAAAAACAATCGACAGAGGGTCAAGAGGAATCCGCCGTCGTCTTCTGGTGGAGTCAACATTCAAATCTCTTCATCAAACACTTTCACACGAAATGGAAGTAAGCTCAACAAGAAAATCATACTCAGAGACTCACTACTTTTGCCTCAAAGTAAAGGTTTACCTTATTTCTAACTTGTTGCTGGGCAATGGCAAAATTTCAACAAAAGGTGTTGAGGAAATAGGACACATTTACGAGCCAAGGCTTACCTGTACATGAGATGTTGCAGGGGAGGTATCGTTCCAGTACACATGCGTAGTCATCTTGCCATATTGCGTTGTGGATTAAAGGTCGGACTTGATGCTTGACCCCGATGGCCAATGGTTTGACGCCGTCACAAGTGGCCGAACAAGCCACATCTGTGCGCCACTCGCCATAATCACACACATTCTGTTTCGTTGAAAGAGAAGAAAAAGTGTTAGATTCAGTTTTTCTAGAATAGCAACACCGCTGATTGGATGGCAATGCTACTTGATCTATTCACAGCCAAATGAGGGCAGATCAGGAACTCAGTCAAACCAGGTTTATGTGGCAGTGATCACAGCACCCGACTCGGAAGCAACACCCTTCGAGTTGAGTCCCTGCCGAGGCCAGCTTTATTTGGCTTGACTCTGACTGGGCTAAAGTTGGGTTAAAGCCACCCTCGGACTGAGTAACCGGTTTTGGGAGACCGCAAAGGGACATTTCGCGGCGAGCCTCATTCCTCTTTCTAACAAAAGTGATAGTAGTTTGGCCTCAACGACTCCGCTTTGGCCCTTAACAAATAATCCAAGCTTTAAGACGAATAAGAGGGTCTGTCTTTCCGTATAAAGAAATAATGGGTGAGTTGACAAATCGTCCAAGCCAATGTCATTCGCATGACGGACGATGCGCCGATGCTACGAATAGTCAGCTCAGCGAAGCGATGCTTTGCTTCGGTGCACTCACAACTTGCCAGTTGAGGCTGAGCTAACTCTTAGTCGTTGGAGCGATTTTCTAGCAAATGATGGTGCAGCATGGACAGCTTTATTTAGTTAGCAAACTTTCATTTCGTATGAAAGTGCATGAAGAAGAGATTCGTTGGTCGATCTCACCAGATGACGACGGATAAA